GTTGTATCTTAAAGTCCGTAAAATTTATAATATGTACATCCCTCTAAAATAATAATAACGCACTGTGAGTCCATCTATATGGAAGTTGAACAAATCGTAGAAAATAAACACCTTAAACATTAATAATTTTTAAAATTGTCATTCTATGCCAAACTCGGGGACTTCGAAACCCTGGATTTGGTAAGAATTTGTATAAAAAAAAAACGTTTAAAGAATTTCAACCTGTCTCAACTTAGTAGAAACTTTATTTTTTACATATAAATATCAAACAAACCAACAGTCTGTCGGAGTTTCCAAGAAATTAAATACTTCCCGATAATTATACTAAAAGTTGATTTTTTTTCCCAATTTTCTAAACGTTTAACAGCAGAAAGTATCGTTAAAAAGAAGAGTTCCACTACACTTACAACCACGCGTATCGACACATATTTTTTGTTTATTAAAATGGTATGTATGAAGTAACTATGCTACTAGATAATCAGGTTTTTTTTTCCTCTAATCTTCAGTTCCTATACACCGATTAATTCAAGGGAAATTAAGAAAAACGGCGAAGATGTGTATTAATGTCCCTCGTAAGGGTTAGGAGAAAAACAATCAAATCTGTCAAGTGAGCTCTTCCTGTACCAATATTTGGGCTTCATTTCTAATAACTCTTTTATCACGAGGCTGAAAGAGTGCCGTTTTCTGAGGCAGTCTGGCGGGTAAAGTTCTATCCAAATGGTGATTACGTTTGATACATTTATCTTTCACGCACTGTCAGAAATTACCACACGCTGACAACCACAAAGTTGATGATGATGCTTCCTTCCTACACGTTAGCTTTACAAACAGCCACTAACCCTAACTTGTACTTTCAGTTTTTCTAGTTTCTTGACCTTAACCACCGAGGAGTTAGTGAAAACAGGTAAGAATGAGGATGGCGAATTAGCCCTGCCATGATGTGTAAGAAAATATCCGAGCATGGGTTTATATAATGAAGTCTAAATTCCTATGGGATGGATGCCAGTGCTAGATGGTATTCTAGATCAATGCACAGTCTAACCTAGCCAGCCATCTCTGGGACTTCTGGAGTTCTGCCAGGTACACAAAAGTTTTCTTTTGTTCGTTTAGCTTCTACACTCCATCTCGGTAAGGATGGGAGCAAAGTAAGTGGCGACATCTACAAGCTCCAGTTCTGACCTCTGTATGAACCGATGTTCCTGTAAGATCAGTTTAGCCGTCAGTCTATAAAACTCATGCAGGATCTTATAACCTAACCACTTCTACGACAATATGTGCATAAGAAGAACCATATTATAACCAGCTCATACTACTCTGTTGAAAATATCTAGAAAAACCTTGAATTTCATACTACGTTTCGGGTCGTAGCTTTAACTGAAATCGTAGCGTGAAATTAAAGTTTTCTAGATTTTATTATCATTGTATCTAGTGTTTTTTTATTTCTTATACTTTGTCTTGCATCTTTATTACATTTTTTTATATATCTTTTATGTATTTGTATAATTACTGAAAATATCACCAACAATAAAAACACAATTACTATTTCTAGGAGAAATAAGTTAAAAATACAATCTTTACAACTGGGAGAAAAGGATAAATCTTATTAATCACAAAACCCAATATTTTCAAATAAAAACAGAGTGACTCAAACCTTCATGTTTAATTAGTTTTATTTGTATTTAAACTAATCAGAATTTCAGAAAACACTTTGTAATTCTATTTAAAGTTGAAAACAAGCAATTTCTACGAAGTTATCTCATTAAATACAAATACATTTAGCCATGCATAATGTGGGCAACAAATACATTTAGCCATGCATAACGTGGGCAACATATACATTTAGCCATGCATAACGTGGGCAACAAATACATTTAGCCATGCATAACGTGGGTAACATATACATTTAGCCATGCATAACGTGGGCAACAATTTCAGTCATATACGTACCAAAAGTTTCTTGTACTTGGGTCGATGTTGTTCTTCCTTGATTAGGCTAAGAAAATTGAAAAATTCTTATTAATAAATCAATCGTAGCATTTATTCCAGAAACAGACTACAATATCACTAGAAATACGTACTCGTCTTATAAGCCAGGATTTTTACCTAAACTTTCAACATCTCTTCACTATTAATCTATCACAGTAACAAGACTGTTTTATGTTAGGGTGAAAATTTACAATTCCTTTTCCTTCCTAACCTATATTTCTTATTAACGATGATACTAACAACCAAACACATCAAGTTTTTCACATACTTCTCACTAGAGACTGGAGATTGAAAGCAGCAAATTATTTTGCAAATGGCAGTCTTTTAAAATACATGAATAAATGTAAATTAATTTGTTTAGAGATGAGTAGAACAAAAATATATCAATATTCACAAATATTTAAAGTGGGTTGTTAAGACTAGTTTTATAGTACTATATCGTTCCAAATTTTTGTTTTGGGCAAAATATTTTTTTTAATTTTAATTATTTAATTTTCTGAACAACAAGTTTATACAATTATGAAGACATATTTTAAGGGCACTTGAGCATGTGTAAATTGATTTTACTATTTCAACTCTTCCAGTTTTGTGTTCACCAGCTGGAGCTAAGAATAGATAACTCGAGAACAAACTTCATCATTTAATGTAAAATTATATCTTAAATTTCCCACCAAGTGTTCACAAAGGCCACAAAATCCTTAGAAAAGGCCCTTCCGTTCTCGTACAGATTTAACCGTGGAGGTTCTCCCTGCACGACTTGGGTGAGTTGTTCAAAAACGCTGTTCCACTTGGGGTAGGGAAACTTCCCAGTAGCAACTTCAATCTGTTTAGAAATAAATAAAATTTGAAATAGAACTTTTGACAAGTGAAATTATTCACTAACAGCCTTTTTGTTTTTCAAGCTCAAAGATTCACAATAGGCTATCTACACTTTTCACTGCACACACCACAAGGATTGAAACGCAAGTGTTAGCAAACTTACCACTAAGCCACCAGGGTGATTTAATTGTCAGAAATGACCGTAAACAAACCTTTTATATAGAATTGCAATATAACAAAGATAGTTTGTAGTTGAAATAACAACTACGATGTATCGCAAATGTCATGAATACATAATAGTTTGCTACAGTCTTACATAATCCTTGAAATCCCCACATAATCCTTGAAATTTCCACATAATCTTTGAAATCCCCATATAATCCTTGAAATTTCCACATAATCCTTGAAATCCCCATATAATCCTTGAAATCCCCACATAATCCTTGAAATTTCCACATAATCCTTGAAATCCCCACATAATCCTTTAAATCCCCACATAATCCTTAAAATCCCCACATAATCCTTGAAATCCCCACATAATCCTTGAAATCCCCACATAATCCTTGAAATTTCCACATAATCCTTGAAATCCCCACATAATCCTTGAAATCCCATACAGATGATTGAATTTATGTCTAATGTATCTAACATAGTACAGAAATTAAGATATCAAATTCTGTACACAATAAGAAGGGAAAGTTATTTTCACATACTACCGGGTATAGCACTTGTAAGCTTTAATAAAAATGTGGTATACCAGGTAAATGTAATGACATTAAGTTTCACACATACTACCGGGTATAGCACTTGTAAGCTTTAATAAAAATGTGGTATACCAGGTAAATGTAATGACATTAAGTTTCACACATACTACCGGGTATAGCACTTGTAAGCTTTAATAAAAATGTGGTATACCAGGTAAATGTAATGACATTAAGTTTCACACATACTACCGGGTATAGCACTTGTAAGCTTTAATAAA